ACAAAGTCACCAATGATGGTTACAGTGAGTACCTGCATTTCCACGATTGTGTTTTGCTTTGCACTGATTTTGCATGGAACTTATGCTAGCTGCAGGTAATATAGGCGCCAATAAACGCTGCGTTCGAATGCTATATAAACAGAAACAGTGTTGTACATTTATAAATATCACACACACTGCTGTCGGTGAACAAATCATAATATTATTACATTGCACTCAGTGTAATAAACAATCGTGACTACGCCAAGTGGTCGTGTCGCTCTACTCAAGTGTTATCGTTAGTATTTGTATTCACTGCATTAATGTTTTACTTGATTTCAGTTTCTCTCTAATGGTGTCTATTAAATCAAACGACTGTATCTAGTGTCGATCTACGTCACGCAAATTGATCGTACTATTTTTAAAGATGCATGCTGTGTTCTACTCAAAGCAATGCAAGGTGTATTCCCAGTAGAGTGTCGTGGCCCCTTTATTCATGTAGAGTATCCATTATGTGAAATGTACCATCTCATCCTTTCACTAATATAGTTGATAACTGGATATTAAACCCTATTGTTTTATCGTTTGGGTTAGTAACCCAAGGCTTCATTGCCTTGGATTATTTATTAATTGAAATATCCCAGGGTTAAGAAACAATAATGTCTTCGACATTTTCATTGTCAACTAACGTTAACACTTCGTTCTTAAAGTTTTTGGATATGTTAATTAGATCAAAAAAGTGATAATACAATTGGGATATCCGCATACTAAGCGTGCGTCTACTCCATCTATAGCAAGTTTTTTTTTACTACTTTGACTTCTCAAATCCGAGGAGATTCAAAACATTTACCAGAAAATAGGATATCTGTTCAAACGTCGTCTATATATCTGTAGGAAAAAAATGTCTGTTCACGCGAAGAAATCGCGTCTGTAAATCGTGCCGCAATTTTGAGATATTTTCTTGATTTTTGCAAGTAACATGTATCCTTGGAGCAAAAACGAAGAGCCCCCGGCCATTATGTATCCAAGGGGATTATTAGTTTAGAAAAAAATCGTAACATCACTTAGACACACTTAGATTTTGTTGTGACATTCACACTGCTTTGAACACAAAAACACTTTGGACAATACTTAAATGCACTCCCTTCTTCCTTATAAGTGTTTATAAATTTCTCAATTCAAATTTGAACGAGAGGTTTCTATTGGCTGTTTGAATAACGTTGGAACTTTTTCAAATGACGCCGATGCACACTGTGCTCGATGAATGGCTGGTTGTATTCAACTGTCATTGGAATTTATAAATATTTATGAAGATGAAATATGGCCTTTGTTGCACTGAGTGTATCATTTAAAATCGATTCTTATGTTTATGCTTTATGCCGGCCTCACGAACCAATGCGTTGTCGTGTTAGGAAAGGGAGTAGATGAACTCGGTTACATTGATTGGGTGCGTCAAGAAGCTGGATCTATCAATCAACGTTACCATAACAACAAGTTGCGCCAGTTTCGAATTTAAACCTATACATGTTGCCGTCTTATAACACGTCATAGTTTTACAAAAACTGTCTTCGCGTTTGATTTTGCATGGAATCACGTCACAACATTTTACTTGTCTCGTGTCTCGCCTACCATGGAAACGAACCAGGACACGCCAAAATTACAATATTACGATATCACATTTCAATCGTATATTTATTCATTTCATTCATAATTTGTATATGCAATTATTTCATTTATGCATGTCATCAATTCATTCGCGTATTTCTTTCGAATATGACATTAGGTCATTTTATTAATATATTGGGTTATTCAATTCTGATATACCATCATTACAGTTTGTTCGAGCTTAAAAACAACTCCTAGCGTGCGCGCATTCGCCATTTGCTGTTGTCATAAGTTGAGTGATTTTTTCCATTTCAGTGTAAAGTCAATCGACTTTCTCATATTCTTCTCCCCACGTCTATATGATCTTTTTCTGATTTGTTTGCTAATTAAAATACAGGTATGCCCACTGGAAGGGAAGTGTTTTAGAGTCGGGCGTTATATACCAAGTGAAAGTTACGCGAATAGGCAACGAAACCCGCGAGACATATGTCGGACTTACCGGAAATGAATTTAAAACAAGGTACAAAATCACACGGCCTCATTTCGTAATCAGCCCTCTAGAAATGCGACAGGAATGAGAATGCATGTTTGGTCACTCAAGGAGAATAGCATTGATCATAAAATAACTTAGAAATTCTTTACTCACGGTAACCCATATAATAGTTCTAGCAAACGCTGCAATTTATGCTTGAAGGAAATGTTTATCATATTGTTTATCAAAAGAAATATAATATAAATCAGCAGAATTAATTTGATAATTCACAACTTGAAAATAATGACTCTGTTGATATTGTTGAGATTGGCTGTATTGCTTGTTCAGCTCACATACACAACCACAGTTCCTCCTGAAAACATCTTACGCTATATTGCACGTAGTGTTATTCCAAAACACTGGATTGCAAATACAACGATTTAATTCAAATCCACTGTAAATTACATCACTGAGTTTAACAACGAAATAAAGACAGTATCGCATAATATAAACAGTATATTTATTATTACCATTTTATCATGATATATGTATATACTGACCATTTTATCATGATATATGTATATACTGACCATTTTATCATGATATATGTATATACTGACCATTTTATCATGATATATGTATATACTGACCATTTATTCAAATGAAAGCTAAATGTAATACAGATTTAATGAAGCAATGTAACGTCTCTACGTCCCCATATAAATAGTAAACGGGTTTTAATGTTGCATAAACACTTTGTATGATCTACAACTAACATCTCACTTACCAATATTGGAATCTCGGAGGTGTTTGGTTTTGGTTCATAATAGATATTCTCTTGAGGATTGCAACACTAAAAATATGTTTGATTTGATAATGGAAAGGTAGTAGTCCTTCTTCCTTCCATGATTT